CTAAACCAACCCTATTAAGCAATGAACTAGCCTTATAAGCACTGAACTCCCCTCCCCGGACACCAAAAAAAAAAAAAAAAATAGCCTAACAAGTATTGAACTGGTTGATTTAGCACTGAACGGTCTTCATTAGGTCATGAACCATTCATTTAAACCTCTGAATTGGCTAAAAATCCACTGAACTGATTTACTTATTCTAGATCTAGAATTCAAATCCAATTTTAGCAACTCAAACCTGGTATACCCAATCTGGTTTAGACCCAACTCAAAGCCCAACTAGTCCAAGCCTAAAAACCCATCCAACTTGGGCCTAGCTTGATCCAAAAACACAGTCCAAAAGCCTTGTCTTGGCCCAATTGAATCCAAGCCCATATTCGGCTTGTTCTAGTTCAATCGAGAATCCCAAACCTTAGCCTAGACCCAGCTCAAAGAACTGGGCCATTCGCAGATATAAGCCCCCTCTCAGGCTGTTCTTCCCAACCTGATTCCCCTGCAAACTGAAACCTGAGGCATACCTAGGTATGGTGTAAATCGATTGGTCAACTCGACGACAGTGATGGCGCCATTGTCGAAGTAGCCAAGGTGGCTTGTTGCAATGGTGACATAAAAATCCAATCAACCAAAAATAGCTGCACCAAGCTTGATTTTTAGTTGAAGCTTAGTCGACTATGATGAACAAAAATGGGAGAAATATAGAGGAATGAGGCTCAGTTTGCAGAATTGACTCAGTGTTTCTTCCATTATTGATTCTGTCATTTTATACCCTCAATATGGCTCTATTGCTTTTGGATTGCTTGCAATTGGCATTAATGGCCACACAAGATCTAGATTGAAGAAAATGGAAACCTAGCTTTGGGTATTCTTGATTTGGTCCGTCAACTCTTGATTTCGTGCAATTCCGTCCCTGATAGTTTTTGATTATTTTCATTCGAACCCCAAAAAGATTAAATTAGTTCAATTGAACCTCTAACTTTTAATTAGGTCCTCATAACTTTCTATTTCTTTTGGTTAAGTCCTCTAAACATCTAAATTTCCAAATTAACCTTAAATTGTGATATTATGACATCAATCCCAATCAACAATTAATAATTTTTTTCTAAGCTTGATAACCATCATGGCTTTGAACTTGATGCATGTCCTAAATACTTTAAAATTGGATCAAACCAAATGATTGATCGTATTATAGTTAAGTCATGGATTAGACAGTCTAGTGACTCAAGTCCAAAAAGTGGATTGGAACTTGGACATTGGAATAAACTTATGACCAATGAATTATTGGATATTGAATATCAAGTGCTAGTTAACAGTGTAGAGGACGTCGACCATGGCTAAGATCTTCTAGGGACTCTTAAGTAGAGGTTCGGCCTCAACTAGGACCTGTTCCTTGTTGTTAGGGGTTCATCTTCAACTCTAGTTCTATTCCCATCCATTGTTACAAGGGTTTGAGTTAGAAGAGAAGTGAAAAGATGGCCAAATTGGAGTAGAAGTGGGAAAGGCTCTAGCCCCGCCTTGTTCCTACCTTGCTTTTTTCCATTATGGGTCTCATTCCTACATCTCCTTGCCCCTCCCATTTTGGTTGCTGGAGTTTGTTGGCAGACATCTTACTACAAAACATGGATAAAAAGGTAACTTAAATATTTATCCAGAAATTTTTTCTAAATTGTGTAAAAATATGTCAAATCAGGGATAATAATCAAAAACATTGTACAAGCAAAACACTACAAGAAAGTAGGCCATTTTTTATGAATGGTTTATGTTTGAAAAACAACAATTTCTGTTGGAAAAGTCTGTTTTCAACATAATTTCTGATGGAAAAGTTATTGTCAGAAAAAAGGTTGTCGAAAACAATTTTTGACAAAAAATTCATTTTGTCAAAAAATTTTCGACGGAAAAGTCTATAAGAAATTTTGCCAAAAACTTTTTGAAGAAAATTTCCATTGGAAATTCTCTGACATAGTGAATTTTCCATTGGAAATTCCAACGGACTTTTCTGTCGAAAATTTTTTCCGACATAATTGCTGAGAGATTTTAGCGGCATATCTAGCAACTTTTCAGGTGACTTTTTCGGCAATGTTTCTTGCAATATTTTTCTATTTTTTAATATTTTATATTATTTTATAGTTATTATAAATTTATTTCTTTATATTTTATATTTAATAATAAATTATTATCATTATAATAATATATAGTCTTTTTGGAGATTCATTAATCTTGCACATTCTGGGCTTTCTTGCAGATAGAGAGAGATTTAGGATGGACAGACAAGGCCAAAATAAAATAAGGTTGATGAATGATGATGAAATGAACAACTGCAAGAAAGATGAAGGAAGAATATAGAAGAAATCAGACACTATTTCAATAAACTTGATTTCTTTCATTTAAATTAAAAAAAAGCAAATCTTAACTTCTCCAAATTGCGGCCATTTTCATCCTTATCGTCTAGTGTGTGAGAGTGGTTGGTCTTCATCACCACTAAGCAGCCATGGCATTAAACGAGCGTTTGCAGAGAAGGAAGATCACAAAGAGAGAGAGAGAGAGAGAGAGAGAGAGAGAGAGAGAGACAGAGGAGAGAGGAGTTGGATTTTAAAGAAACTTTTTCGACGACTTTCTGATGGAAAGCCATCGGAAAAAAGGTAATAATCCCAAAAAATCAGTAAAATTGAATTTTTGATGGATTTTTTGAATTTTCAAGGGAAATTCTGTTGAAAAAAAGATACAAATCCTAACAAGTCTTCAAAATTGCCAAGTGTGCAGAATTTTCGATGGAATTGTCGACAGAATTTTCTGTCAAAAAATTTTCAATAGAAATTTCCATTAAAAGTTCTGTCGGAAAAGAGTTACAAATCACAACAAGTCTGCAAAATTCTCAGAGTGTACAGAATTTTTGATGAAAAATTATGTTTGAAATTTTGTCGAAATTACTCAAAAATTTTTCGACAAAAATTCCGTCAAAAATTTTCTAACAAAAAATTTTGTCGGAAAATATTTATTTATTATTTATTTTTTTATAATTTTTTCAATGATCTTTTGCATATTTTACAAAATTTTTTGCCAAAATTTTTTTGACGGAATATTCAGTCAAAAATTCCGTCGATGGATATTTTCATCGAAAATTTGGTTAGAAAATTTTTTGATAGAAAATTCCATTGGAAATTCAATGATTTACATCCGTTGGTAATTTTCTATTAAAAATTTGACATTTTCTTGTAGTAAAATAATTTATATAATAGTTGCTAAGTTATGCTTTATCCAATCTCACCTACCAAATATGTCCAACCTAAATATAAGAGACTTTAACACCCCCACCCACAAATAAAAAAAGATAAAATGATATGAGATGGGAAATTTGTCTATGTTAAATACTATATTGTTTTTAATATCTTATATATTACAATTAGTAAAGAAAAAAATTATCGCACAACTAGTTAAAGTGTTAAAAAAATATTTACTATTAGAGTGCCGATCATAATTTTCAATTGCTGTAATACTTTAAAAATGAAAAAGAGAAAAGAAAATGATAGATAGATTGAAGGAAAATTTGATCTCCTTAGCTCTCAAAACAATTAGAAATGTTTATAATTTGGTATAGCTAAGGCTATATATTTAATAAAATCTAGGTCCTGTTTGGCTCGGAAATCAAACACCCCCTTCCCTTCCCTTTCCCCCTTCTAAATTCGGGGTTAACTTTGTTGGGGAGTAAAAATAATAGTTATTTCACTTAAACTTTGCACTTATCTTTAGTCTTTTTCTTTTTTGATTCAAACGATTTGATATTAAATGTTATCAGAAACACTTCATTTTGGATACCTAAAATTGTTCAGTATTAACTTGTATTATCAAACAGGTTTTAAGTATCGAAGTTTAGAACTAAAATAGTTAATAATTATATTATATGAATTAAATTTTAAGCAAGATATCATAAAAACTTAAAATGAAAAATAAAAATGATCCATTTTGAGCTGTATTGATAGTATTCAATAATCAGTTCACTTAATTTTTAAATTTAAATAATTAAATATTAAAAAATATTAAATATATTTAATTCTATTATATTTAAATACATGCTTAGTAGTGACATCATTTATAGGTGCAATATAGGAAAATCAGCCTCATTATTTCCAAAATAATTACAAATAGCAATGCTACATATAACTAAGATAAGGGTAAATCTTATTGTTGATTTTCTAAATTTAAATTAAATATCACATTAATCCATCAAGTTAAAAATATTATATTTCTATTCCTCAAATTTAATATAAATTTCAATATATAATCCCTTAAGCCATTTTTTTTGACTAATTTTTGACAATTTTTCTAATCACTTGAATCTCAACCCGTTAAAGTTAACAAGAACAAATTTATCATTAAAAAAATATGGGTAGAAAAGAAATGAAAAAAGATCACGTCAAGTCTTTCATTTTTTTACGTTATAATCAACTTTCACATGTACAAATTCCAATTGCACCACCCCCGTTCACTTGCCAGTTTCTTCTACCACCACAACATATTAACATAATTGGTTTTGAGAATTTTAATAAGAGATCCCCTGTGCTTGGACTTGTAACTTGGGTTTCTTGTTGATATCATCAAAACTAACCTTGTTTATGTGTTGGTAGTGATGAAAAAGCTAGCTTGTGGATAAAGGGCAGAACAATTGGGATTTGTACCTGTGAAAGTTAATCAGGCCAAGAAAAATGGAAGTCAGCGTGCTCCATTTTCTGCCCATTTTTTCTTTATAACAAATTTGTTTTTATTAATTTTTATGTATAAGGCGTAAATAACTAGAAAATAATTGAAAATTTGTTAGAAAGAAGCTCAGAAAATTATAATGAAACTTATATTAAATTTAAGCAACAGAAATTTCATATATTTAATTTGAGGAACTACTATAAAAATTAATTTAAATTTAGAGAACAATAGTGAGATTGATCCTTAAAATAATTACCGGATTTTTTAGTTTCATGAATTTAAAAGCGTGGGCTTTATTTTTTCTTTATATTATGGTGGTTTTTTTTTATAGAAAATTCAATTTTTTCGACAAAGAAAACTCTATAAATATCAAGCAAACTCCTCCCTCTCTTCTTCGTGCTTCCCTCGTAAACAATCCATCAGATATGGCGTCTCTGTCTGCATCGTCACCTCTATGTTTCACAGTGACATGACGAGAGCCAATTCTAGTTCGGCCGGCCAAGCCAACCCCCCTCGAGCTAAAACATCTCTCCGACGTAGACGACCAAGAAGGCCTCCGCTTTCAAGTTCCCATAATGCTCTTTTACCACTCCAACCCTTCCGTGCAACCCAAAAACCCTGTCCACCTCATCCAACAAGCCCTGGCCCAAGCACTCGTCTTCTACTACCCGTTCGCCGGGAGACTCGTTGAGGGACCTAACAGAAAACTCTCTGTCAATTGCACTGGCGAGGGCGTCCTCTTCACCGAGGCCGACGCTGACGTCGAGCTCCCCCGCCTTGGGGTTGAGGTGGGGAACCCTTATTTGGCAGAGCTTCTCCACGACGTTCCTGGGTCGAGCGGGATACTCGGGTGCCCCCTCCTTTTGATTCAGGTGACCCGGTTCAGGTGCGGTGGGTTTGTTGTCGCCGTGAGGGTGAACCACACCATGAGCGACGCTCCTGGGATCGTCCAGTTTCTGAACACCGTTGCAGAGTTTGCTCGGGGTGGCGGGGCGGAGGCGAAGATGTTGCCCACTTTGCCGCCAGTGTGGAAGAGGGAGGTCCTCTCGGCTAGATGGCCTCCCCGTGTCATGTGCTTTCATCAGGAGTTCGAGCAACGGGCGAGCGTGACCCTGTCGGATTACTGTCAGGTGGGAGTGATAATTCAAGTAGGGGCCTGGAAAATCCAACTAATTAACCAACTCAAACTACGTCAAATTAAATTTTAAAATTTGATTTATTTTTTAAAATTTTATTTAATTTTATTTTAAAAATTAAACTAAACTATTTTAAACTATAAAAACTAAAGTTTTAAAAATATTTATTTTCTAAAAATAATAATAAAATATATATACACACACGTACACATATTTATATAAAAAAAATATATATATATATATATACACTTACATGTGTGTATATATGCATGTGTACATAGATATATACACACACACACACACATATATATATGTATATCTATGTATGTAGAGGAGAGAATATATCAGTTGATATCAGTGTAAATTTTTAAAATTTGATATATTTTTTAAAATTTTATTTAGTTTTATTTTAAAAATTAAATCAAACTATTTTAAACTATAAAAACTAAAGTTTTAAAAATATTTCTTTTGTAAAAATAATAATAAAATATATATACACACACGTACATATATTTATATGAAAAAAAATATATATATACACTTACATGGGTATATATATACATGTGTACATGGATACACACACACACACACACACACATATATATATATATATATATATGTAGAGGAGAGAATAAATCAGTTGATGTCAGTTAAGTATAAAAACACTAACACTGTTGATTTGTTTAAATTAAAAAATAAAATTAATTAATATTTTGACAAAAAATAGTTGTGAATGACCTCAATTGATTCATTTTCTTTCTTTCTCACGCACTACATATACATACACATATATATACCTACATATATATGTGTATATATAAAATATATAAATATATATATTTATGCATATATATACACATACACATTCATATTTTTATATTTATATGAATATATATATGTAAACACACATACTCACGTGCAAACATTTGTATATACATATATATTTGTTAATAAAATATAAATAAATAATTTAATTAAATATTTACTATAATAATAAATTAAACTTAAAACCAAATTAAACTAAACTAAAATTTTAGATTTAGTGTGATTTAATTTACAATTAAACTAGTTTGATTTGATTTCTAAAATATGTATACCAAAATTCAAAAACCAAGTCTAATTATTAATAACTAAACCAAAATCATAATTTGCACGTCCTAAATTCAATAGTTAAGAAAGTTGTCAAGTAAGCTTGTATCCTCTGATAATTTAATTATATTGTCACCCTATCGGCCGCAGCAGGCAGACATGGTCCATGGAACCTTTTTCTTTGGTCCCAAAGAGATTAGGGCCATTCAAAGCCAACTTCCCGAGAAGTGCACCATATTTGTGGCTCTCACCGCTTGCTTGTGGAGAACTCGAATTCGGGCCCTCGGCTTTGACCCGGATGAAACCGTTCAGATCTCATGCGCCATCAACGGCCGGGGATAGATCCACATACCTGCGGGGTACTACGGCAACGCATTCGCCTATCCGGCCTCGGTGGCAAGAGCCGTGACGCTGGCGACAGAGCCGCTGGATTACGCGGTGGGTCTCGTGAAGGCAGCGAAAGCTCAGATGAGCGAAAAGTATATACAGTCGGTGGCGGATTTCCTGGTGACCAAGGGGCGGGCTCTGTACAAGGCGAGGGGAAATTTTATTGTTTCAGACACGAGCCGGGCTGGGCTCGATGGGTTGGATTTTGGGTGGGGGATGCCAGAGTACGGAGGCCCCGTGGCGGGCACAGGGCCGATTTGTTTCTACGAGCGGTACAAGGGCGGCGGAGCAGATGGGCGAGTTGTAATGCTCTGCTTGCCGAGGCCAGCGATGGAGAGGTTCAAAAGGGAGTTGAATGAAATAACGAGGGAAGAACGTGCGAGTGAGAGATTGATCAAAAGCTCACTGTAAAATGTTTATGTTTTCCTTTCCTTTGTAAGTTTGTTGACTGTTTAGTTCGCAAATAAAGGCAGAACGGTGCTAGTTAATTTATAAAAATTATTGAATTTTTCTTATCTGTAAAAAGTAATAAATGATTTTGACCATAAATCATTGTCTCTATAGATATTTAAAATTAAATTTTCTAAATTTGTAGATAATTCTAAAATTTATGTTTAAAATTAAGAAGTTTCAGATAAATTTTACCACGGTAATAAAATAACCCAATTAAAAGTTGATATCAAATTTCGCAATCGGCGTTAAGCTCTTATACCACAATGCCCTTGCAGTCCATCAGCCTTAATAGCTGTTAGGTTTTAAATTTTTTAGGTTTCAGTTTTTTCTTTTTCTTGTAGAAGTATAGAAAGAATATTTTTTTTTTGGTAATTTGATTGATGCTAATTTTTTTTAATTTAAATTTAAGTTTCCTTTCGTGTTTGGATAAAGAAAAAGCCAATAGATATTTTTTTCCCTTTTATCTGAGCTTAAGCCTGCACCCAACGATCTGAGACACCTCTTCAACATCGATGACCAAGAAGGTCTTCGCTTTCAAACCAAAGCCCCCTTATTGTAACAACCCAATTTTCAAAATAATTTAGGGTGAGGACCTTATTGCAAGAGTTAAAAGTTTCGGGGGCCGAACTGAAATTATTTCAGGGACCAATCAGTGAAGGAGTGAAGTTAAGGGACTAAATCTGCAATATTCAAAAAATTGATTTGAACAGTGAAATGAATGATGGTTTGTCACCAAATCCCCCACGTCGTGTGATGATTTCGACCAATTCCTCATGCCTTTGTGTGCATATTTGAAGGCTTGACTGAACCCCTCAGTTTATTTCGGTCTTGAGTGAGAGTGGGTGAGGAAATTTAAGCTTTTCTAGGTCGTCTGGTTCGGGGTGGGAGCCTAGGGGAGAGATCTGGATTTTTGGAGGTTGTTGGACTGTTTTGCTTCGATTAACTGCTGCCGTGGGAGTCTTCAGGACCGGCGCCGAGGACGGGGTGGTTCGATTGGCCGAGGTGAGCTCCATTTTCTGGTTTATTTCTTGGTTCTTGGTTCGGGTCATGTTACAAACTCGGACGTTGCATTCGGGTGAGGAAGACGGACTCGGATGCATCTGGGTCACTGCTGGGCTGACTCGGCCAACTTGTGTGGGCTCGGGCTTGGGCGGGTTGGGCCTGGGCCAGGCAATCGGGTGGGCTAGGCCTTTGGGCTCGGGTGTGCTGCAGGGCACGGGCTTGTCAGAAAGAAAAGGGTTAAGTTAAGGTTTTGGGCTTGGGCCGGCCTAGTTGGGTTGGCGGCCCAAGCCAAATGAGGGCCTGAGCCGCGAGCCACGGCCTGAGTTGAGCCGCTGGGCTGGCGGTTCAAGTCGAGCCAGCTTTAAAAAAAAATGGATTTTGACCGAACTGGCCGAGGCTTTGACTGGTCGGTTCAATGGCCAATTTAACTTGAATTTTGGAATTTGGACCGGTTCTGAATTCAGGGGGATGAGGCTATCGACCAAGTGGGTTTGAAAAATTTTGGATGGCCGGTTTGAGGTGAACCGACTGGTTTAGTGTGTTGACCTTCGGTTGACCTATTTATTAGCTTTTAGGCCAGTTCTTGGAGAGTTTGGACCGGTTCCTAATTCAACATAATGAAACCTAGTTAACCACGTAGTTTAGTGATTTTTGGGTGATCGATTCAGGGCGAACTGAGCTCAGTTTGTGTGTCAGTGCTTATAGTTAGGTTTTTTGGTTCGGTTTAAGGCTGGTTTAAGGCCTTTTTGGCCGGTTCAGACTGATTCCTAGGGTTTTTGGGCCTTTTGAATCCATTTTTGAGGGTTTTGTGGCCAATTAAGTTGAGTTTGAGGTAGCTTTAGATCAGGTTAGGCTGATTTAAGGGTTTTGGAGACCGGTTCACTATAATTGAGGATTTTGGAGGTTGGTTTAGTAGTGTTGTGGGCTGTTTAGCTGGACGGTTGCATATTGGTGAGTCGCGTAGGTTTCAGTGATAGGTCATGTTGCTTCGAGATGCGTGCTAAGGGGTTGATTTGGGATTTGAGTCCGGTTTGAGGCTACCGAGCTTGTTTCTTGTGCCGGTTTCGACGTTGGTGATGGTTTTGTGTATTTTTGGTTACAGATACATCGGTGGAGGCGCGTCCTGGTCAGCAAGTAGAGTGAGGGAGATCGGGAGTTCCTTTTGTTCAGCCCTTGTACTGTGAGTGATGATACCCTCTCTATGCCTGTGTTTTCATATTGTGGTTTTCTGACATAATGATTATGTGGTTTGGAAACTGTATTTTGATTATATATTATACTCGGCATATGTGTATTGTGTTTTGTGAACTGTTAGTAAGTTATGTTGGTATGTGATGCTGGTTTTTGACATATAAACTGTATATGCGTATGTATACTTATTTTTGACTTACATGTAAGGATGATATTGTGTGATGTGAGGCGGTAGGGGCCGTGAGCAGCAGAGGCTGCGGATGTGATGTGAAGCGGCAGGAGCCGCGGATGTGATGTGATTTGGGGATGGCAGGAACTCGACTGAAGTATGGTGATCCGTAGCGTCCAGTGGTGAGTCAGCTTAGATCGTATGAGGTGATTGCAATGTCAAGAACTTGGCTGGAGTATAGTAATCTGTAGCGTCCAATGGTGAGTAGGCCTGAATCCAGCGATGTGATATGATGTTTGGTTGACAATGTCCTTAAACGTATGTTTGATATGTTTTACTGATTATTATATATGTATGTATGGTTTTGAATTTATAGTGTGATACATATCCTAATATACATAGATTAGGTATCATTTGTACTCACTGAGTTTCGTGACTCACATATTATCATCATTCTAGATTCGTTTGACTGTACTCACCTCAATTAGCATGCCAGTGTGGGAGTCAACGATAGCGGGTTTGATGAACGTATGGGCACTTCTCTTTTGTATCTGATCTTTATTGTATTCTAGAGTAGCTTCCTTGTACTCTCAGACAGGATCCTGTTGTTGTTATATTATTATGGTTGTGTATTGTACTTTTGGTTTCGGTCTGGTGTATTGAGGCTTAGAAGGGTTGGTGGACTCTAATGACGGTCACGGGCCCGGGAACGGGGTGTAACACTTATCCTCTTCTACCACTCTAACCCTTTAGTGCAATCCAAAGACTCGGTCCACTTCATCCAACAAGCCCTATCCCAAGCACTCGTATTCTACTACCCCTTTGCCGGAAGACTCCTCGAAAGGCCCAATAGAAAACTCTCCATCAATTGCATCGATGAGGAACTCCACTTCACCGAGGTCGATGCCGACATCGACGTCGAGCTCCGTTGGTCGAGGTTGGGCTGGGAAGACGTTACTTGACAGAGCTCCTCCGTAACATTCCTAGGTCAGATAGGGTCATCGGGTGCCCCCTCTTCTCATTTTAGGTGACGTATTTTAGATGCAACGGGTTTGTTGTTGCCATGAGGCTCAACCACACCATGTGCTACGGTTCTGGGCTCGACCAATTTTTGAACACGATGGAGTTTACTTTGCTCGAGGCGGCGGGGCCGAGATAGTGGTGTTGCCTTCTGTGCCCCCAATATGGCAAAAGGAGGTCCTCTCTGCCAGACAGCCTCCACGTGTCACGTGCTTTTGTAACGAACCATGGTGATGGGCCGTTCACACGAGCGCATCGCGATGTGAGGCGGCCTCGGAAGGATCATCATGGTGATGATGAATAGCCAACTCATAGAGAAAGAAATGAGGCACCAACTAGGAGCATGGCAGCCAACGAGAGAGTCAGAACCGGGAACGGTGGGGGAGAATGTTTTGAAGGTGAGCCGGGCATCGAGGCACAGTCATCCGGGAACCATGAAGGGGAGATGGATTGGGGGCAACCATTGGGAAACAGCTAAGGCGTAGAGCAGCGGAGCATTAGAGTGCCCGAGGTGCGTCACACTCCGGACAGTGACCCAAGCACGGAAGCTTCCAGAGACGCGACTGACGTGGCAGACGGTGCAGACGTGGCATGACAGATCAGCTGCTAGCTTGGATGACACATCGGACAAACACACGCCAAGCACACGAGCAGTACACGCAAGAGCATGCTAGGAGCGTGCTACGCCTCAGGTCGCGGTGTGCATAGGCGCGTGGCATTCAAGGCGAGGGTTACGCCACTAGGCGCAACGTGTGCCAGCGTGTGGCGCGTCGCGCCATGAGGCACAGCGCAATCCTTCCAGACGTGCCCGAGTCTTCTGGAATCCTGCATATTTGCAGAATTGCCATTGAGTTTGCCTATAAATAGGGGCCTCCCCCTCCCATTTGTATAATCCAAGCTTGAGAGTAATAAAAGAGTCTCTTGTGCTTTCTCTTTCTAAGAGTGTTCCTCTCTCTCTCTCTCTCTCTTGTGTTCTTTTGAGTGTCTAAAAGTGAGCTAGCTAAGGTCTTTGGGAATATCTTCCTAAGGGCTTAGTGAGGGTGAGAAAGTGAGCTTTAGAGTAAGGAAATGAGCTTGGGGGTGTGAAGGCTAGACAAGAAGCCTTGGCCCTCTCTAAGTGTTGAGTGAGAGTGGTTGGCTTGCTTGTATGCCGCACGGTGGGTTTGGGTTGGCTTTGGTTCTTGGGTAGCCTTGGGCTTCCCAAATGTCGTGACAAGTGGAATCAGAGCCACGTTTCGTGGTCTTGTGGGTTCCTTGCTTCTCTAAGCGGAGAACTTAGTAGTTTTTTTTCTTCATGGCAGGTATGGAGTCTTTTCGAGGTGGGTCGTGAGAAGGCTCCCGTGGTTCCCAAGAGGAAGGGTCATGACATCTCAAGGGATTGCGTCCAAGCCTTGAGGGAGAGGGTGGATGTGCTCTCCGTCGACCTAGGGGAGGTCAAGGAGGAGATCGTGGGAATCCAAGAGAATGTGTTTGAGGTATGCCATAGGAGGGACGACACCATGCTCAACTTCCAAGACGTGGTCCAACGGGTGGAGGTCTTTGAGGTGATGGCCATGGAGGCCAAGGAAGAACGAGA